CTAAGTGAACAACAGCTGGACTTCGTTCATGTATGGGAAATGAAAGAATTCGCCATACAACTTCATTGCTGCTTATGTATCTTCCAGCCTGATACTGTGCGATTTCATCGATATGTATGACCGCATTCCTATCACTTCTTTCTGGTTGCACGCCAAAAACTGCCATGTCGCTACCTTTATTCACGTACTTACAAATGTATTTGATCGATTTAACAGAGTTACAGTATTCCACGTTTATGTGCGCTTTGTTATCTACTTCGATGCCACCTTTTCGCATTTGTATGGTTGCTAATTTACCGCCATCTTCTGCTGATCTTCTTCTGTATAAAGGATATCCATCGTTTCCTGTAACTTTGTTGGATACTAATGCTCGAGGATATTGCTTAGAGCATTTTCCGTCTATCATGCATGGTGAATTTGGATTCAGTGTACCGCAAGGTCCATGTACATATTTTTCGTCACAACTTCATGCAAATCCTTATTACATCGTCGATTTTGTTATAGAGCCAGATTAGTATATGTGCGTGGGGCAATCCTCTCTTTTTGCCATTCCACTGAGTACATCCAGCAGTGCACAGACCCAAACACTTCATGTTTTACGATGAAATCCATCAGCGATTTCAGCTTCTGTCTGAAAACGTGCTGTGATGTCATGCCTATCCACCGGCATTGCCCAGGAAGTAAGAGCTGTTGTATAAGTTTATCGCCGGTAGTGTTGGAATTGAAGATGAATAAAAGATAGGTCATCATAATGGATTATGATGTAGATGCACTTGCAATGACCTAAATATATTCAAATAACTGTAAATCTCCAGATAATACAAATATCATTATCTCACAGACCTTATAAAATAGAATTTCAATCCATATATATCTATATATATTAAGCATGCATCTATATAAATAAAAATGTAATGTTCGTTTGTTCAAAATCTTAAATCTCCGAAAGTTCTTCACCGATTGCTTTGAAATTTTGACACAACGTTGCATTCGAATACGAGCGTGTTTTATATACCTACTATTATATAAATGTCACATCTGTAACAGGTAAAAACATGATTTTTGAAAAACAGCGCCATCTGTTGGACGTAAAAACAACACACCTATACTAAATATTTTACGATTCCATTTCAATGTTTCCGATTTACGATCCATTTACGATTTCCAAATTTCCAATTTTACGATTCCATTTCAATGTTTTCGATTGCATTGTTAAATTGAATTTTCATAGATTTCGATTTATTTTCATTTTGATTTAATTATTTCGTGTGACATTGCGTTGGAATTGAGCTGTGTCGTTTACCATAGCGTTCATACTGATTAATGATTCGAGAGAATGAAGACAATCACATTTTGAAATGCCGTCAATTGTTTCACCAATACATCTTAGATATGTATGCAAAAATCGAAACAGAACGTTTGATATTCATCCGTTTGAATCAGACCAAGCTTCGCTCTGAAGAATACGTTCATTTGCGAGATGCAGTTGTAAATGACGGTAATACAACTAACATTGGAAGACTAACGATTTTGCCATCTTCATATACAGGCAGTCCACGTCATATGCATGAGTACGCTCAAGATGCAATTGCGTATGTTCGTCACTACGGGCGTCCAGAGCTATTCATTACATTCACATGCAATCCAGCTTGGGACAATAATGACGTTTTTAAACACAAGACTAGAGAACTAACACAAACATGAAAGAACAAACTTCCTATAAAACAATTTTGTCAAAGAAAACCCAATAACACACACAAAAGTTCCTAAGAATTGTGACATAATATTCATTTTTATAAATTACAGAAATAAAGTAAATTATTTTTCTGGTTTCCATCGAAATTGACAGATATAGCTGTCAGTGCCGACATTGATAAGGGCCCACTTTGATGTTGACGCTGACATCAACAAGAGTTCACTTTCATGTTCACACTGACATCTGTGTCGTTTTTGGACTGGAATCTTTCCACATAGTAAATTTTCGCTTTTCTTTCATTATCTTCGTATTATTTTTTTTACTTAAGAACACAACAACACTTTAGGCTATCTGTCTGTATCACTAACTAGAACTATCAGAATATCATTCTTGAGTAAATGAAAAGACGACAAATTTGATTATTTGTTTTGTTATTAAGAAGTAAGCTACACTTTGGACTATCTGTGCTTTTCCCACCACGAGTATCAAAACCAGGTTTTTAATGTTGTAAGACTTCAGACTTACCGCTAGACACTGGAAGCAAGACGAAAAGCAAAGGTCTTTAAATAATTTTTAACCGTAAGAATATCTATATAATAAAATCTAGTGTCTGTCTGTGTGTTTCGTAACTCCTAAACCGCTATGTGCACCGACTTCTAAGTAGTACCAAATAAATAGTTTCCGTCCCGAGGTTTGCTCAAACGTAAAATTTTTCACCCAAACCCATAGCGAATCCTGATATTTTGCGGGGAAAAAATGCTTACGGGAATTCCCCGACAGCGGACCCAAGATTTGGCGTTGGTGTACACTAGAGCACGTAAATTAGTTAAAGGCCCACTGATTAGCTAGTACACATATACTATAAATATTTATCAACTTTTCTTTCACCTTTTTTCAAAACAATTTATTAAAGTACTCGTTAGGTGGCAGCACAAAAAAGTTAATAAATGTAATCTCTTCTGAAAACATTCAGAGTTAGCCAAGGTCGTGATAATAAAGCAATACAAGTCAGTTTACTTGAAGAGAGATGTTTATATTTGGTTTAAATAAGAGGAACTAATTCCACCATCTGTTGTTTTTTGTTGTAACTTAAACAGATTCTCTCGCTTTCTTACTGGTGTCCAGACTATCATTCACTCCTCTGATACACTATCTTTACTCTTTACCTAATTAAATTCATCTCATTAGTTTGGAGATAGAATAAGGTGTTTGAATCCAAAACAATTAATATTAAGAATGTGACACAAAACATAAATCTAATGGAAACAAATATTTTAAATCTTTGGTTAAATAAAGCAAATCTACCTTTTATATTTGTCCTACATATTGGAGAGGAACAGTGTATTTACTGAAGATGTTTGGAAGTTGTTATGTGTTAACTTGATGGTGTTTCATATGTGTGTTTATTTTATGTGTAAAGTAAAATTTAGTGGTTATGTCAGTCTGTCTGGTGAGGTCTGAATTATCGATGCATTTTGAAATCTTCTTTTATTGTAAATTTCATGTTTCTGTCACTAGTTTTGAAATCATCAGATGAGATATTTAATAAGGTAAAAATATTAATTTTATAATTGTTTGTGGAACTGAAAATGTTTTAAATTAAGGACAAGACTTTGTCAGACGGGTTGTAAGTTTTAAAAATATTTCGTTATAGAATATAAAAAAGCTCTACATTAAACACACGTGATCAACAGAAAATAAACAGTCTTATAATACGAACATCTCTTAGAATTTTCAAAATTTTATAATTGGTGTATGATGTTTATATTAATTTTATCAGTATACTGAAATCTGTAGATGATATCATTCTGACTGGCGAGTTCTGAATTATTAGCAGTTGTTTTACGTTATAAACAGGCGAATTGGTTTAATAATGTATAAGTTTTAAGTTTATCATTGTTTGGGGATTCAAATGTTTCATATTTGTGGGACAGGTTTTTGGTATCGAAATTAATTATTATATTTATTGAAAAGAAAAAATACACATTAATACAAGCCACCAACAGAAAATATAAAATAAATTATAATACAAACATTTCTTAGAATTTGAAAATATTATAATTGTCATTAGATCTACGAGAAATCTTTCTGTAAAGATTTCTGTTTACTCTCTGATATTGATAACTATAAAGATATAATGAACGTTATTACACTACTCATTAACAATGAGACTATGTATTTCTTCTATGGTTTATTTTTGTGGTTCTTTCCTTGAAAGAAATCCATCAGGTCTTATTTTCATATAAAAATTAAAAGTTCTACATCAAACACACGTGATCAACAGAAAATAAACAGAGTCTTATAAATCAAACATTTTCAAAACATTATAATTGTTATTAGATTTACGATAAACCTTTCTTTGGAGATTTCTGCTACTGTCTGATATTCATAACTATAAAGATATAATGAACAAAATTACACTACTCAATAATATGTTTATTTTTGTGGTTCTTTCGTTGAAACAAATCCAACAGGTCGTATTTTCATCTCAGTTTTCTTCAGACAATAGGAAAGGACATAAAAATGATACCAATTAATACCAACAGCGGATTCTTTATGTGGTCCCCCTAGATACAAACCGTTTAAATTAGAGTGATGACAATCATTATACCACCAGCTACCTTTGTAAGTCGTGGCACAGTTCTTCACCCATTTATCATTATCTCTGTCCCTCGTGGAAAACATCATGTTATTGTGGGTTGAAAGTGAGTCCCCTAAAAACAAGGTAATCAAAATATCATCAAAACGTTGATCAGCGAAAACTGATCGTGACGTCAGAATTTAAGGTCATGTTATGTGTGTTTATTCAGATATTTTTTACAGAAAAATGTGTTTGTATTATTCTGTTGATTATTAAAGACTACTTTTGTTTTGACCTTTTTAAGAAGTATTTATCCTCAAAACAAAACATTAGCTCTTAGAATTCTCTGACCTGTTCTAAACCCTCAAATATTTCTCAAAAACATTGTACACCCAGTTAAACATAATATACTTTAGTACCGTTTGTTATTGGTAGGTGGAGATAAATAAATGTATATCATGACAAGTTATATTTATAATGTGTTTAATCTACCGAATGAAAATTTGCACCTGCGTCACCCTTGTACGTTTTATAACTCATTTTATACAGTTCCCTTTCACTTCGCACCAAGAACTTATTATATTCTGCATATCTTTGACCACCTTCCATATCTTCTAAATCGATTCGAAGTACCATATTGTTTTGATTGGTTAAAGCGAATATGACGTCATTTCCTGGTAGATGGAATATACAAAAAATATATGTGTACTCTTTCGGTGAAGAGGAACCCACTTCGAGACTAATAATGGCTGGAGACGGCTTGACGATGACGACTTGATGATGACAAAACCTTGTCGAAACCTTGTACATTTGCTGTTGTGTTAAACTTATATTAAAGTTTTTCTTCATTATCCATTCAAGTCGTCTCCAGCCATTATATGTGTACTCTGAAGCATTCTGAATTTGTATTAGCTGTTTTATATTGTCATTTAATAATTAGTTACCTAAATAATTACCTAACCAAAATTCTCGGGTTAAATTTCCAAATCCAGTTTTGTACCTAGTCCACGTTTGGAAAAAGCCCTCAACCGGGTCTCCAAAATCACCCCTTCTTTGAATTAACTATCGAAATAGAGAGAAAGTAATTTATGTTATATAAACTGAACTTACATTTAATGAAATTCATCCCGTGCTCATATATATCATACTGAAACATTTGGCAGTAATAAAGATAATTAATAACTGTATTTATATAAGGGAGTCTAATAAATAAATATATTACTATAAACTATATATTTTACCTCAACTTTAATTCATCACGATATCAATGATACAATCACCGTAATAATACCAGAACCTTATAAGCTGTAGTTCTGTAGTCTAGAACAAATAGTTGAATCGTGGTTTCAGGTTTATAACATCGTATAGCCTAATGATTGTGTTACAAGTAGACGGTAGGAACATAATTTTTCTTTTCTTATTACAAAGACATGTATGATTTTGTGATAAAAAAGAGACATTATAAGTAATTGTAAAATGTTAAAATTAACAATGTGTGTTCATATTACTAGTCTTCATTGTTCTAACTTAGAATCTTCTCCGTACATATTTTGGACATCACAAACTTCTACTAGATCACCTACCGTCCATCCTCCCCCTACAGTCTCCATATCACAGTATACAGAGATTGGGTGGTTCAGAAAATGTAGCCATATCTTAAAGACGCCATTTATTTGATTTAAGTGATGATAGATGGCGGAACAGTCTACCGGTAAAGATGTTCTTTCTCTAATTTGTTTTGCGTTGGTAGAGATTGGCGTTATGGTGTGAAACACGTCGTGTTTAGAACAAACAGGGCCTGGAATAGAACACATAGTAAAATATCATTATAAATTTATGTCAATATTCATTCAAAACTTGAAAATGCTTACCAGTATACTAAAATCAATGACAGTTATTTTCATTAACGCTATCTCACATTAATACGAAAACGTTGTTTTTAAAGTAATTAAATTATAAAGGAATGTATTACCTTCTAATGTAGTAATTCTCTGTCTAGCCAGATCTGTTAATTCTTCCACAGTAGACGATAGAGAATCGACAATTCCTTCCAGTGAACTAACAGTATTACAAGCAGTATGGTGATGAACATTAGCCTGGGTTAACAAGAAGAGAGGCAAAATACATAATAATTGAACTATGTAATAC